TGCATTTTCTCGTAGGGCCCAATGTGCTGTTGAGACGCTATCTACCTCCATGCCTGAGCACTAATGATCGATCAGGATTTCCCCCGCAGCTTCTTCGCATTCGCACGAAAGGCTGTATACACTTTTCCGGGGCCCATATGCCAGGATACACTCAGTTGCTCAGAGGCCCTTCATAAAAGTACTGGGTTCTTTCCACTTGTTTGGAGGGCATTGTGCCGTTGCTAGGGATCTTATAAGGTACGGCAAGGAGACACTCGATGCTCAGGGGTCCTGTACTTTGATCGAGGGCTCCCTCCCTTCGGCCTCATTTGCGGAGGACGTTTCACTCCTGTCGAGGTTCGTGTTGTTAACCTGCCCGTGCGCTCTTGATTGCACAGGGATATTAATTCATGGTCTCGGATAATTCCCATTTGCTCGGAGGGTCCTATGCTATGGCCGGGGCTTTATATGTCAGCCCGCCGAGGCACTACCGATCGTTTAGGGTCCACCACGTTGGTCCTGGGCCATTTTCGGTTGCTCTGAGGACCCTATACTTGTTGACGAGAGCATCTTTGTTGACCTCCTGCCGCAACCGTGATCGCCCAGGTTCTGTCCGTATTGGCCTTGGTGCATTAGCCTTAGAGCAGCAGTCGAATATGTGTCAGTTAATTTTTACGCGCAATTGTTGATCATAATTTTACATGCCGCCGAAATCGTATATCATTTCGATTGACTATTGAGTGTATGGCGCGTATTATACTAGTGCATCGCGCTCTGAATGTATTTTGAATGTTAGGATATGTTGTACTCCTTTCTAGCGAAAGAAACATTCTGCACTAGTCAGCAGCCACCGGCTCATTACATCGCCCAGCCAGCTAGCCGTAAATGCATAAGGTAGGAATAAAGTCCATGCTTAGTTCTAAAGCAGCCGACTCAAGTTTATTTTGTCCGCTGTTCCGAAACACTTAGCCTCAGAATCATAGAACTCACAATGATCTGTAGAAATGAATGACCTCTATGTGTATGCATGCGAAGCACGCCTAGCTTTATAGGGCTATGCACAGTAAGATGGGTTTCCGTATTTATTAAATCAATGTATAGGTAAACATTTATACATATATGTTACATACGGCTTGTCTTGAAATGTAGTGACCGAAATGCAAGGATCCTTTTTTGGAGGGGGCCCCAAACTCCAGGGGGCCCTACAATGTTGCGTGCCCCCCCCCCCCCCCCTGACGGAATCCTGGATCCGCCCCTGGCTGGCAAGACGTCCCAAGTCGACCAATAGTAATGTTCAATAGCTGCATGTCACTCAAAGGATCCCAGCCTTAAAGGCCTTGATCTGAAGTATCAGACGGAGGGCCTGTTACGCCGATTGAGGAGTCCCTGAGGCAGTGCAGGTATTTATTTCAGTCAGAGACCACCAACTCTGCACTGTCGACTCCGCGTCAGTCTAAACGCTGGCAGCCCATTTCCCAAGCAAGAGCAAAAACGAGCCCGCGATTTGATTGCATTTGCAACGCGGTGCCCGCCCTTCCTGCCAGGGTGAGCGGCAGGCGACGTCATATGGCCTCAGCAGCAGAGTGCGTCGTAAAGCCCCAATGACGATATGATTGCATTTGCAAACCGAGGCCATCACGGATCCAAATCACACGGACTCTCCTATGCGAGCGTCCATTGATATGGGTCCCTGAAACAGTCATCGAGGCCCCCGTGTCGGTCGCGGGCCCGCGGTGCCTAGCAGGGGATCATGCGTCGGCAAGCGGCCTCGAGTCCGTCACGGACTTCGCTTGGGGAGGCCCGATAAGGGGCCGAAGGGCCCCTCGGGACCAAAGATTCGTGGAATGATTAAGAGGCTGAAAGGTTCGAAGAGCCTGAGGAACTCGCCTTAGGTCACAATAAGGTCGCCCCTTCCACGCCCGTAGGGTCTTGACGTTAAAGGCCAGCCAGGGGGGCTGGCATTGATTGGGGATCCATGGAACATCGCGGGCCTCTATTTCGGGCAGACAACACCAACACCGAACAGTCGACCTCGTGTCGTTCTGAGCCCTGGGGATCCTTTTCCCAAGCACGAGCAAGGCCGGGCCCACGATTTGCAGTGGTCGAGGCCCCTGAAACAATGAGGGTGTCTCGTCAAGGGCCAACAATGCCTTACAGGGGGTCCTGTGTCGACAAGCGGCTCGTAGTCGGCCAGGGAAACATTTGCTGAGCAGGGGGAGTGACGGGACCGCGGACGCTAGAGGGCCTTTTGCGTTGGTCGGGGAAACAACACGTCTTCAGCTTCCACTTAACCTCACGGGGTGTCAGGTCAGTCAGTGGCGCAGGCAAAGGGGCCGTAGGAGGCATGTGCCTCCCCCGAAGGTACCGAGGGGCCCATTGGCCCCTGGGGACCTATGATTAAGGGTCTAATTGGAGGGCCGGAGGTCGTGTTCAGGAGCCCTGGCCCACAGGGCCGGGCACTTCAATGCCAGTGAGAGGGCCTGTGCGCTGATCAGGGACCCTGAGTCGGTAAGGGCCTATGTGTTGGTCAGGCACCACCAGAAACGCACAGTCGGCCCCGGGATGGCACGAGCCTGAGGGCCCATTTCCCAGGCAGGGACACTACAGAGCCTGGAGGGCCTACCAGATCCGACGATCAACAACGTTTGCTGTGGATGGGCCTTGACCTGGTCGTCCCATCGCGCACGGTTGTAGGGGTTTTGGGGGATATACAACAGAAATGGAGCACAGGACTGGACACAGAACACTCGGCGATTTGAGATGTGCACCTTATCTACAGCTAAGATCAGATGTTTTGTCGAATTATTGGCGCTTCCCAGCTTGTATTTGCCCTCATACCGCTACCAATGGCGTTGCCAACTTCATCGTCATGTTTCATGTATGTTTACAGGCCGGATCCCAGGCAACACCGCTTGCTGTTTAAAAATCACGACTTGATTGCAATGACAACACCTGAGCCTCAACGATTCTCGCTGGTATTTCCACCACCTCGGCACTCGTAAGCACATAAAATTCAAACCAACGGACATCCCCCGCTAATGTCAATCTTACTTAAACAAGTACTCGGCCGCCGATACCATCAGGACCATCGGCAAAAAGCAAACAAACAAACGCTGGTGAATGGCCCAGTTGGAGGGTGTGAGGGCATAAGGGCTGGTCAGGGGCCTATTCGGGGGCCAGCCGAACATCGGTAGAGGGGTCAGGCAGCACTGGAGTCTGTGACATTTATTGGACCATTTGCGGCGATCAGGGATGTTTTTACGTTAATGAGGGTTCCTGCGTCGATTAGGGTTTAACCACACGGGTCAGAAGGCCTCCCGCGTCAGGGAGGAGACCAACGCGATGGGATCTATCCCTCTTACCTCTCCGAGGGCCTTCGGATCGGTCAGGGGATCCCCGTGTAGCCGAACTGATAGCTCGAAGACACCCCGCGGTAGGACGGAGTGTCTCTTCAGCCGTTGACCGGAAACAATAATGTGTCCCGCAGTGTTCTTCTGAAGGGGACCCCTTCCCCGGAAAGAAACAAGCGGCCCCATTGGTGTTGAGAAGAGTGGGTCGAAATGAGCTAAGATACGAACAAGATCACCTTACGTTTATGTGAAAAGGTTCCGTCTTTTGCAGAATCGATTGATGATGAAAAAACAAAATGAATGATATCAATGAAGCCCAAACGGGTTGTTTACGTCCTTGCTGAATGCTTTGAGGCGATGGTCAAGTGCCTTTCACGGACCGGCCGGATGCACTCTCCTAAGCGATTAGCGGAACACTAGAGTGCATGTGACTCGGTACATTGCACTATTGGGGGAGCAAATGCTATCAGACCGAGAGGCACACGGGACGTGCGCCCTTTGATGGGGCACATTTGACCATGCAGCAGCTAGCTTTGGTGAGCTTAGATTGGTCTAGGCCACTCTGCATTTTGTGACACCTTTTTTGCAGTCGTCTTCCTCGCGACATAACTTGTCGATATAGGCCAATATGAGGTGCACCATAATTTCTTTTCTTTGTAGCCGGTGGTCTTGATGGTGTTGGCGCTCAAGTACTTGTTTAAGTAAGATTGACATAAGCGGGGGGTGTCCGTTGGTTTGGATTTTATGTGCTTACGAGTACCGAGGCGGTGGAAATACCAGCGAGGATCGTTGAGGCTCAGATGTCCTTGCGATCAAGTCGTGATTTTTAAACAGCAAGCGGTGTTGCCCGGGATCCGGCCTGTAAACATACATGAAACATGACGATGAAGTTGGCAACGCCATTGGTGGCGTCGTGGGGCAAACACAAGCTGAGAAGTACCAATAAGTCGACAAAGCATCTGAACTTAGCCGTAGGTAAGGTGCACATCTCAAATCGCTAGGTGTTCGGTGTCCAGTCCTGTGCTACATGCCTGTCGTATATCCCCAAAACTCCCCACAAACCGTGTGCGATGGCACGACCAGGTCAAGGCCCGTCCACAGCAAACGTTGGTTAGCATAGGCAAACGCCAAGGGACCCTCACACAGTAGCAGGTCAAAGCCGACAATACAGGCATAAGGTCCGCTTCCAATCCGGTACCAATTTTTCAGTCCATAACGCTCAACAGATACATTAAGTCACGAAGGTACGGCTGGCAGCCAGCTGCGGCGAGCGGACTGGGTTTGTCTCTCGTTCACTGCGCGATGTTTTTGCACTCTGCTGTGCATCAAACCACATGGCATACCAAAGCGCTACCCTTACGAATAAGAGGCATCGTATGACACGACGTAATATTACATAGTGATATAAGAAAGGGACGAGGCCGCATAACATGCAACAAGCGTGCTCAACCCTCTGTAATGGCTGAGATGGGAACTTAAGAATACGATCGTACAATGGCTGATCGCATTTCGCTCTCACAACACAACAAACTGTTGCTCGGAATCGCGCCTGTAAACAGATACGGCTCTTTCACTGCCGGACAGTTGCCTACACAGCTGCTACAGAGGGCGCCAAAGGTACGAACATCTATCACACGGCAGCGCCGTCGAAAGCCCCGCAAAACGCAGCCCGAAGATTATTAAATATATTCGTAGTAAGAACACCAAGCTGGACGCCAGACAGGAGTGGTAACGCAGACAACCAAGGTCAAACGACTCCACTGGGTGACATCACACACGTAAAGAAAGTTCGGCCGCCCCGGGACGAGACAAGAGCACCCACAGTACGCAGAGACAAACGAGGGCGAGCGGACCTCTGACGGGAGTGTTGGCATCCCCACGCGGACCGGCCCGCTCCATTCACATACTGAAAACAGCACCTCTATCCTACGACGGCACATGCTAGTGTTTATCTCACACACATCGAGACCAACAGACCCGGACGAGGCTGCGAGACGCATTTTGCGGAGCTCTTCACGCTCCGGTGTCGCACCTCGTGGCCGCGAGCGCACGCACCGCCCCAGCGGCGGACATCGGCCTGCTCGTGTGACCCGTTCGGAGCGCGCCCGGCGCAAGTGATTGACGACCGCCTCGACCGCGGCGACTCGCGATCATAAAACAATCAAAAACGTCACGATAAGCCAACAGGTGTCCAACAAATAGTCGAAAAGACACCGACACGCGCACAGGATTTCCGACAAGGCGACGGGCTAGGCGGAAGGCCGCCACGGGCCTGCCGAGGCGGCGTCGACGGGCAGCGAGTCCAGCTGATGCCCGGCAACGCAATCAAATGGAGGGACCACCGGTAAAGTGGAGTACAAATGGGGGGGGGGGACGGGGGAGGCGGGCGGGACGGCCCGAGATCCAGCGCCGACCGGGGGAGCGCCGCGCGGCGGCTGACTAGCGGATGTTGTAGTTACTCGTGTATCACACAGATGGCGGTGCGAAGCTCCGCTGGGCCGCTCGGCGCCGCCGCGAGCTTACACGTCCACCACCATCTTCTTGTGCACGTCCGTGTTTCCCACGATCTGATGGCGTGGTCCCAGTCAGTTGACAATGACAGCATTACTGCTCTTTTAAGGGCGGGACGTTGCCATTATGGGAGGGGTCGGTGGGGCGTGACTTCAAACAACGCAGAGAACAATGTACCTAAAACATCAACCTCGCAAAACTTTTCCCGTGGCTTCATCGCTCCTCGCAACTTTTCGAACTCTATAAAAATAATACGCTTCCACAATTAATGCAATCACTTCATTATTGTTAATCTATACTGGATTACTTAATATCTTCGTAGTAAAAACACCAAGAAGATGGCCGCCAGACGTGAGCGGCAACGCAGCCAACCAAGGCCAATCGACTACACCCGGTGACAATGACGTCACACACGAATGGTCGACGGCAAGATGAAAATAACGCACCTCCGACAGTACGTTCTGCAAAAGATGATTCCTCTCGATGCGGTGTTTCCCCGCGAAATGTTCGCTATATGGCGGCAAAGAAGCGTGCCACCTTTAGCGGAACCATCGCGGGGTGTGCGACAGTGGGAAAAGGAAGGACCGCGGGCCTCACCACGCAAAACTCCTCGAAGCCGATCTTGCCGTCCTCGTCCTTGTCGGCGAAGAGGATCGTCTTGTCCACGATCTGCTGCAGCTGCGTGTCCTTCAGGTTGCTACCCACCATCATCTTCAGCACCTGCAGCAGCCAGGCGTGGTTACGCTGGCGGACGGCGGCGCCCAAAGACGGACAGCCGCGCGGGACCCCCCCCCCCCCCTACACCGAATCACGGCAACTGAAGCCGTCGTAAAGACAGCGGTTCACAGGCAAACTGGGGCCTGGCGACATTCCCGGACATGCCCGCACGATGCATGGGGCTTACTTGGCCCCTTGTCCCGAGTCCGCCACACACCGTGGTTCCAAATGGGGCGTGCAATAAGGCGTGGCCTCATGTCGCACGCATTCCAAAGACATTAGTTCACATGCATTTGTTCACATGTGCTACCGAATCAAACAGTTAATCGGCACGGAAGGCAGCATACTGCTGGGCTACGCGTGAGCTCTGACGTTCAACGCAAGAAAGCCCGTATAGTGCGCATCCTTGGAAAAACACCCTCGGGAACGCCGCAATGTCCTCACTCGATCCCCCCGGACCTCACACCAGCGCCACCGACCTGGAACAGCTCGCCATTTGAGATGAAGCCGTCGTTGTCCATGTCGTAGATGCGGAAGGCGAAACGCAGTTTCGAGTCCTTGTCGCCTTTCACCGAGAACTGCGACACGCCCGAGATGAACTCTGCGGGGGTCAGGACCAACCGGGGTCAGAAAATGAGGGGATCGTAAACTGAACTCAGCCGAGTCATTAATCGAGAAATTTACGGCACACAATAAACTCAGGAAACCACTTACCGCGGTGGGGGCTCGAAGAAAAAAAAGTTCCTAACCCTACGAAATTAGTGTCTGTAACACGGTGTGAGTTTCCAGCATTGTTACAGCGCCGCGCCGCGCACCTAGTTCGCTGCCCCGCATGCTAGCACAATATCGCCTGAGGCCCTGCTCGGCGCATTCCCTGTCCGCGACCCTGCCGCCTTGGGCGCCGTCCCGCCACGTGCTGCATTCCACAGCGTGGCGGTGTCCACTCGAGGTTACGCGACGTCCGCGTGCCGCGGCACGCAGGTCCGTCGACACGCGTCATGCCGCGCGACCCGCGCAGTCTACAACGGACGGATCAGTGGCCTGCCTGGCGCTCCGACCACCTGGCCACGACACTGCGCCCATCCGAGGGACGACTCACCCGATACCAGCCCGTGCGAACATTTCACTGGTGCGGGGTCCCGTCAGGCCAGGGGATGCTGACGACCTTTAACACCCCTCACGTCCACACGGCACGCCGCTCATCGATCTGGCGACGCCGAGACATCCACGGGCGCCGACCTTTGAAGTCGACCTCGCCGTTGCCGTCCTCGTCGAAGATGTCGATGACGCGTTGCACCAGCGGGTTCTGCTGCAGCTCCGGCAGCGACATGAACTCGTCGACGCTGAGCGCGCCCGAGTTGTCCAGGTCCAGCTTCCGGAACCGCTTGCCCAGGCGCCGGATCTCGTCCGGGTCGACTGTGAACGGAGGCGACGCCGTCGAAGCTGCGTGTGTGTGTTGAGATGGGGAAGGGCATGGGGACACTGCGTGCAGGGTTCTAAGTTTAGCGCTGCATTTTACTACGTAAAAAGAGTTACGCCACATTGTCAACAAACTAAATGCGTCCAGTGGTTCAGAAGTATAGCCACAATACGTGCCACTTAACAATTAAGCAGGTTTAGCACCATCCTCACAGTCCCTTGCTCGTCCCGACTACGACGAAACAGAAAAAAACGCGTGAGCCTGAGGAGACAGCGGCCGCGGCCACACACCGGCCAGCGCCCCGTCTCCGCATATGACGTCTGTCCCCTTACGTCTGCCGTCACCGACCGCTCACAAACAACGGGACACAACACATACATCGGCGGTGGGTGCGTCCAGCGCCAGGCGCCAACACAAACGGCCGGTGGGAGCGTAGCCAGCGCGGAGGCGGTCGTGTGCCGTCCCCCCCCCCCCCCCCCCCCCCCCCCCCCCCCCCCCCGGTTGCGGCCAGCCCCGGGAGGCGCCAGACTCGGCGCGCATCTAGTACCGCAACGCAGCGGCGGCCAGCTGCCGAGCGCACGCGGTCGAGATACATGCCCCGCCGCGAAACAGGCAGAAACGTGGGAGCGAGAACCACCTGGAGGGGAGGGGAGGGGACTTGCCCGCTTGGTCCTGTGAAAATCACGACGGATAGGAAAAACTTAGACGCGATAAGCCACGGTACAGACGGTTAGCTGCGGAGTTTATATGTTAAGGAATGGTAGAATACCTTGTTCAAACATTGTCGCTGATGAGCTTCAAAAGGCTCTCTGCGTCAGCGAGGCGACAGGCCCAGAGTGTGTAGTTAAAGCAACCACTGCAATGCGAGCTGTCGGGACCAGCCAGTGGGAGCTGGTCCTAATCTGTTCCGATATATGCAGCCAAAGGCCCCACGACAGATGATTTCGGGTTCTTTTCCAATTGAAGGGTAGATGTAAACCGATAGAGAAACATCACCACCATTGACTGATGACCTCCGTGTTAACGGACGCATTTTGCGTCACGTCCCGTTGGGTCACGGCGTGCAGTCGGTTAGAAACAGAAGACCCAGGGGTGTCCTCTTGCTTCGCTGCTCGAAAGGACAGCGCCGTTGCTAACAGTCACGCATCCTATTGGAACTACTGGCTAAACGTACTGCAAATATACGGTAGTGCCCATCATATGCGCTCTACTGCGACATTGTCTACGCACAATAGCAGCGACAGTTCACCAACACTGGAGAGGCAGTCCACTGCGGGCACAGTCAACACGTAGTAGCTGTCGTAACTCTTACATTTATCTGGGCATAGTTCGCTGTAAAAAAAAAAAACACCAGCGGGGGGAAGCTAACGCACAATACAGTTCTCCGCTGTCGTAAGTCTTGAACCACGGCAGTGGCAGCTCCTCAAACAATATATGCAGTGAGCTGTTTCACTGCCTTTTCTCGTCTTTTTCTTTATAAGCCGCCCTTTGCAATGGCGAGCGTCTCGAAAAAAGGGCACTTAGTTAATCCCAGTTCGAGTTGCTGAGACGCCTTTTTCGATCCCCTAATTTTGCTCGTCTGGTGTCTGCTCCCCACCAACGTCAAATTTTATCGTTACGACACCCACGGCCATTTTTCACTACCCTTTCGCAACCGCTACGGCCGTCACCAACGGCGGAGCGGCGTCAAATTACGCAGCGGAACGTCACAAAGGTTGTACCCGTGGTGTGTGCCAATGCTGCCGCCAGCGGTGCCGCCGTCTGCGCTGTGCGTCTCGCCAATAAACCCGGATAGTTGTAGACGATTGGCGGTGGCTTATCAGTTGCAGCTCCGCTGCATTCTCGAATGTTGAAGATGATTTAAGCGGACATTTGAATCTGATGTATGCGGTATCATGTGCCGTGGACTACAAATCCCACGCGTCGCCACAATGGACTTAAGCGAAGTGTTCCACATTTGTATGGGATTTTGAAATGAAATAGCCGTCTTGCAGATGGGCGCGAAATGACTCCAGAAGTCGGTGCTTCCTAAAACCCAATCATCATCAGCCGTCTTGCAGATCATTCGGCGCAGTTCACAGTCCTGCCCTGCTTACCCTATTACGGACTAAACCCCTCTACTTTCTGAGCCAAATACTCGCGAAGATGTGCAGACTATTTCGAGGAAGCTATTCAATGTCACTCCGGCATCCATGACGTCATAATAAGGTCATTCAAATCCTGCCATACCTACAGCCTTGCGGCGATCTAGACTAAGCAAGATATAATTGCCGAGTCGTTCATATGTAGCGTTCGTGAGCACGACTTTCAAACACAACAGCCATCCATTGGTTTTTAATCTATGTTGTGCAAGGTACGATGACATAACCAAACGATGACGTAATCAGGAACATATCCAATAAAAGAGAAATTGGGTTGCTTTGACCAGTCTCTTCCATTAAAAAGTATACCAATAGTTATGTTGACAGAGAAATTAGGTTGTCTTGGCTCTTCCATTAAAAAGTACACCCAGACTTAGGTTATGTTACAATATCTGATGCTTAAACATAATATCTAAGTGCTTCAACATCTTCAAATGTAGAGCATTCTCTTCAACATCATTTGGCCGGCTTCGCGACACGTAACAGGGCACGCAAGCTCCAAGCCCGGACGGGCCATGATCAAAACGCGCCGCTGACCTGCCACGTTACGGTCCAGCACGAAAAGTGGTATGGCCTTCACAACAAATCTCACTGCAGCTCAGCAAGCTGGCAGCGACAATACAGAACTAGACTTCTACTCACATGACATTGCTGAACCTGCCACAAGTGCTTTAAGTGTGCATCTAGTGCCAGACTTGGGAAGCCACCCAAAGTCTATTTAAACGGAAGGCAGATGTCAGGTTTTGTAGCATGTCGGGTTTTGTAACAACGTACATCAAAATTAAGGAAACACAACACAAATTTCGTATCTTCCACTTTTCTGGGGAAGGGGGAGGGGGGGGGGGGTGATCAGATTGGTCCTTTCAGATCCCTTTTGTGACACATCATGCAGTACTGCATGCTGCTGCACTGCACCAGCATCCTGCATTTCCACAATAGGGCTGGGCACATTTCTGGTTGGCATGCGAAACACAAAAGAGCTGTTCGAAGGAGCCATCTATGCCTACTTTGCAGCACCACAATCCAGGACATTTCATGCATGATTCAAATGCAGAAACATGGGGAAGAGCTTCTGGCAAATGCAACACCACCTTCATCAAAAACAACATATAAAATTGGACAGGGCAAATTCCTTTGCACCCACAGAACTTGGACATTCTAGGAGTGGACTCCCACCCCTGAAACCACAATGGCCAGAATGTGAGATGACATCTGTTGAGGTCAGCTGTTCATGTTGCCACCAGTGAATAAGTTCATCAAATGCTACTGCTGCTTTCACACCAATCATAGCTGAGCTCTAGAAATAACTAAGAAATTTGATACTGCTCCCCAGACATAGATTCACATGGAAAATAGCTCACTTTTGCTGGATGCCTACTTAAAGCTGAGCAACAAACTGAAAAATGAATGATGCCAATCAGGGCAGGGCAGGCACACAATAATTAAAGCCATCAGTCAAGGTCAGAATTTTAGCTGCAGGACCTACCGCTGATGAAGATGAAACAATACTGAAAATACCAACTACAATCATAAATTTGCAAACACAAAACATTAAATTTCTCTACCCACACAAGGCATGTGGTAGGTGAGAAGTCCCATTTAAGCTACACATTGTATAGGGAAGAAATTCGAACTTCTTAGATGCGTCACAGAATCACATAACATACACTAATCATATGGAACCAACCAGATGCATCAATAGTAAGGGCACCCATTCATGCTCCAATGTTTTTCTTATTTGCACAGTCCATTCTTAACTAAAATGTGTCTACAATCAAACAAAAATAACCACACCTTTCAAATGACACAGTGACATAAAAGGTATAGTGACAAAGGTTAGTAGGTAGGAACGGTCAGGGTGTACTTTCCTACCTAACGTTAGAAAAAAATCATTGTACACCATTCGTCGTGTTTAAGGCATGACATATCGTAAATAATCTCAAAACAGGTAGAATCATGCTCCTACCTTCGAATTTCAATAACTTCGATGGCAGGCCCCCGAACGCCGCGCGCACCGCACCGCCTGGACTCCCCAGCGCCGTTTCCGCGTTGCCATTGCGTAAATACAATATTTCTGCGTACCAAGAACTGTACAAAATGTACGGGACCAAAGTAAACCATTCGTCATGTTTAAGGCAGGACAACCATAACCTAACTGCGAACCATAAAAATATTTACTAAAAATAAACCATATTTACCATAACCATATTTACCATGTAAACCATATTAACTGCGAACCGTACTATAAACCATAACTATAACTATAAACTATACTATATAAACCATACTATAACTATAAACCATATTTACTGCGAACCATAAAAATGTACCGGGACAAGGTAGCAAGAATCCATGAAATTTGATCCTCGACGCCAACGGGACCATGGGTTGCAGGGGGATTGGGTGGGGAATGTAAGCAAAATGAGAACATGGCAGCTAAATAAAAGCTCACTATATGGCACCTATATATGGCATGGAACATGGATGCCAATGAGATGCTGGGTTTGAAGGGGAATATAGGGTGGGGAGGTTAGGTTAGGTTAGGTTAGGTTAGGTTAGGTTAGGTGAGGTGAGGTGAGGTGAGGTGAGGTGAGGTGAGGTTAGGTTAGGTTAGGTTAGGTTAGGTTAGGTTAGGTTAGGTTAGGTTAGGTTAGGTTAGGTTAGGTTAGGTTAGGTTAGGTTAGGTTAGGTTAGGTTAGGTTAGGTTAGGTTAGGTTAGGTTAGGTTAGGTTAGGTCAGGTCAGGTCAGGTCAGGTCAGGCTAGCTTAGCTTAGCTTAGGTTCTGGTCTATTCTCAGTTAGGTTAGGTTAGGTTAGGTAAGGTTAGGTTAGGTTAGGTTAGGTTAGTTTAGGTTAGGTTAGGTTAGGTTAGGTTAGGTTAGGTTAGGTTAGGTTAGGTTAGGTTAGGTTAGGTTAGGTTAGGTTAGGTTAGGTTGGGTTAGGTTAGGTTAGGATATGTTCTGGACTATTCTGGCCTGCGTGTTTCATAAATGTACCTAAACTCGATAAGAAACGATTTTGGTTGCTTTATTATTGTTACCTTGGTCCCGTACATGTTTATGGTTCTTGATAAGCAGAAATATTGTGCTTTCGCAACAACGTAGAAACGGCGCTTGGAGTCGAGGCAGTGCGGTGCGGGGCGTGCGGCGCTCGGGAGCTCGCTATCCGTATTTATTAAAATTCGAGGGTAGGAGCATGATTCTATCTGTTTCGAAATTATTTACGATATGTTCCGCCTTAAACACGACGAATGGTTATCTTGGTCCCATACATTTTGTAGAGTTCTTGGTAAGCAGAAATATTGTATTTACCCAACGGCAACGCAGAAGAAGAAACGGCGCTGGGGAGTCCCAGGCGGTGCGGTGCGCGCGGCGCTCGGGAGCTCGCCATCGAAGTTATTGAAATTCGAAGGTAGGAGCATGATTCTACCTGTTTTGAGATAATTTACGATATGTGCTGCCTTGACACGACGAATGGTGTGCAATGATTTTTTCTAACGTCAGGTAGGAAAGTACGCCTACACCGGTAGGAACACTTACCAATTAGAACACATCTCCATTGGAAGTGATGCCTCATTGCCCTGGAAAAGAAAAATAATATCACTTTTTTTACCTTTTAAATTACCTCAGACAGGAAGAACTGCCAACTGTCAAATTATACTTCATCCATGTGCTCACAACATGTAGATTAACAATAAACATTAATGTATGGAACATGGCAGGCCATAAACATAATGGTTTGAAAATATGCACTGCAAAAAGTAATAAACATATGATCCTGATGCAAACTAACTCTTGCACAGTGTCCCAATTAGAAAGGAACTATGGGGAATACAATAGTCATGGCTGCAAACAGTAAAGAGCAAAAGGCTACTTAGACTCAGAAATTGGGTTTAACATTTGTTTAGTGTAATGCACCTTATACTCTCAATATGCCAAGTTATGAATAACATTATGATGCACTCAATACTCCAATTCACTAATTTCTGATATGATTTTTCAGAATGCTGTCTGATACTGGAAGTTGTGCTCCACCTATGTCCCAAGATCTTGGCAAAATATGCTGCGTTTTGCAGACTAGACAATCAGGAATGATAAGTCATATCAGCCATGAGCTTGCAGCATTTTGCTGCAATGCTGAGACAGTCAGCAGGAGACAGCATGAGACAACCATGATGGTTGTCTCCTCTTCAGGTATTATGACTCATGTAACACTTTCAGAACAGACATTTCCCTTCACAATGACAGCACACCCAAATAGTACCAGCTTTTTTGGGCAGCATTCCCATAACTGGTATGAGTATACTGGAATAGTATTTCAAGAATGGCAAAAAATCTTGTAGATCACACTGCTAAGCATCAATATCAAAAAAATGTACACAAATGCAATATGTACATATCTTACCATCTTGGCTCTGTGATGTTGGGCGATGAGGGCAGAAAGGCACTTTAAAGTGCCCTAAATGTTATTTTGAAAACTTTCAAAATGCTTTGTTAGTTGTCCTTTAGGAATGGCAAGTTTCTCAATTCACAGCTCGGTCAACACGAAACACTACCAACTATTTTCGTCGCCTTAAACCTTGGTTATCAACGAAAATTTTATGAAACAGCGTATACCATATGAGAGTACATTAACGACTGGCGCACAATACTGCGACTTAACACTACTGTGACTGTAAACTCACACCTACAACCCTCTGACCAACCGCGCGCCCAACAAACACTCAATCTTGCACCCAACCAAGGCTATCTCATCCGACCAAATGCAACGAGCTGCTAGATGCGCCACTATCGCCATACAACTGCACTCAGCTCACGGACACAATAAATGTGATCGCATTGGTCAGCTGCACAAGCAGCACACGTATTGACCAATAAGGTTCGGTTCCTCCCAAGGCTATATAAGAGAGGTAAAACTGTCTGGTGATTTTGTTTCTTCTTTAATTAACGTTAGCATGACGTCACTGAAACCAGGACTTCAATGCGTCGCGGACCGCTAAACACTTCACGCGTGGCTAAGCGACTTCCGAAACGTCAAAATATTCGTGCGGATAATGGCAAACACGTGAGCGAAATGCACGTGAACAATGAGCCAACAACGCACAATGTTTGTCATCATGATGATGCGCTTGAAAAGAACATGTAACAAACACTTTAAATGCAATGGCGTGAAAAGTGAAAACGAGCATACCAGACTTCTCGCAACAGGGCGGCAGTAACATCGGCGTATCTTAGTACCACGGACGGATCCATTGCGGGCCCCCTAGAGTTTGGTGCCCATCCAAAAAATATGATCGCATTTCGGCCGTGGAATTTTAATGTATTGTATGTATATGTAGTTATATATATATATATATATATATATATATATATATATATATATAGTTATATATATAAAGTTGCATATATAGTTATATATTAATATCTAACATAGTAAATATGGGAACCTGTTTCACCGTGCACAGCTCCATAAAGCTAGGCATGTGCAAGTTCTGCTGTTCCGGTGTCTTGCCTCCGGCTCACTGGTACACACGGTACGTCCAAAATCACTTCTGCATTCGTCAATCGTCAAAGGCACTCGTCACAGCCCGTGCCGCGGACCATCCGTCCTTGCGCCGGCGGCTTTCAGAATCTTATTTTTGTTTCCCTTCCTCTCTTGGCCCCTGCAGCCTCGTCCCTCGCGCAGGGCAGAAGGTGGGGAACGCGAGCGCCTCTAAACGGCGCTCGTCAAACTAGGGCAAACATTTACTGGTTAGCACATAGGTGCTCTCTGACACCCTTACATATGTGCACACATGGAGCTCATTCATTTTCTCCAGATTATGTTAGATCCTGTGTCTTGAGGCGTAATGCTTCGGAAAAACAGACAAAATAAGCTCAAATTGGCTGCTGCTAGCATCAAAATCGAGCACGGACTCGAAGACTTGCTTATTTACGGCTGGATAGTGTAAGCAACTGGTGACCGATACCTAATGCAGAATCTTTTCTTTGTTATAAAGAGTACAAAACATCCTGGCATTCAAGACATGTTAGGAATGCAGTGCACAAGTTTGGTGAGTGTCACACACTCGTTAGCCAAGGGAAATTACGCGTGTAACGTCGGTAACACGTAAATTACTACTTTTTATTTTATTTTATTTTTCCTTTTTTTTTCTTTTTACTTTTAATTACCTTCGGCAATCTCGCTTAAAATTCATCAGCGCATTTCCGGTTTCTGCTCTAAGGCTAAGGCACCAACGCCAATAGGGACGGAACCTCACCATTCATGGGTGCTCCGGGAGGCTAACAAAGAGTCTCTCGTCAACAAGTAGTGTCCTCAGAGCAAGCGAGGAAAAAACAAGACCAACGTGGTGGGCCCATAACGATCGGTAATGCCCTGGCAGGTTAACATACAAGACCCCGGCCAGAGCACAGGGCCCTCTGAGCAGAAGGGAATTACCCAAGACCATCAATTAATACCCCTGTACGATCAAAAGTGCTCGAGCATGTCAAAACAAAGAGCCACGATAGGAAAGAAAGCCCTCCGCGAAGGAGATTAAAGCGAAAGAGTGCTCGATAAATGTGGAGGAGTGCTGAGCATCGAGTGTCTCAGTGCCTTACCTTATATAATCCTCAGCAATAGCACAAGACTCGCCGAGCAAATGGAAAAAACCCGAGACTAATGCGATGGGCCACTGAGCAACTGAGTGTACCCTGACATATAGGGCCCCGGAAAAAGCGTATAGAGCCTCTCGGGAGAATGGGAAGAATCCGTAGAGGAAAACCTGATCAATCAAGAGTGCCCATGCGTTGAAGAAGATAGTGTGTCAACAGTAGCGTTGAGATTACCTACGGGAAAATGCAAAGAGATCAAAGGCAACGTGGAATGCTTCTTGGTGATGAGACCGACCCGGAGAGGGGACTAAAGGGGCCTAGGCAACAGCGTAACGTTTCCGGACAGCGTAATGAGCTTCAAAATTTCCCTGGGTCACTAACTTTTTAATCAGCGCATAACTAGCTTTGTTTGCGATTTAACTCTGTACTTTTGCTCACAACCGTTCTTTGCCGTCTGTAGGCCCAAACACGTCCAGTTTTGCTATGCTTTTTCCGCTTGTTTGAAAACTGCGTCCGTTCGGCCGGTTGTGAGCCCCTTCGGAGCCTATGGGTCCCGTCGGCATAGTCCATGGGCGCATGGTTCAGTGCCTCCCCACCCCGTCACCCGGCTGTATCTACCACCGACCCGAGCAGCCTAACAGAGAAGGCATCGTCAAGAACATAGGATTATCCATTCCAGTTGAAGGACCCTAGACACCGTATACGGGAACCGGAATGATTGAGTGCGCCCGAGCAGGTCAACATATAAGGCCTCCCATCAAGAGCGTAGTGTCTTCCGTTCAAAAAGAAAGCACCCAAGACCCGATGTAAATGGCCCCCGAACCGTCGAATCTGCCCGTGCGGGTTATCAGATAGGCCCCCGACAGGAGCATTGGGCTCCCAGTTCAAGTAAGAAGTACTTAAAGACCCAGTGTGGGGATCCCCGAAAGACTGAGTGCACCCGAGCAGGCTACCAGATGCCCGCCAACAGGAGCGTGGGGCTCTACTTCAAGATACCCAGTGTGTGGGGACCGAAGTAATGCAGTGTGTCCGAGCAGATCAACAGATGGGGCCCGGCAAAAAGCGTAGGGCTCCAAGCAAATCAGAGAGAATTGGAAGCCCCCTGGACCAATATAGAGGGCCCATGAACTTATCGTGCGTGTGTCGGTAGGTTAACCGAGACCAAACCGTTAAGGGCCATGAGCAACCGGGAATACCCCGGTACGGGGTATATGGGTCTCCGGCTACAGCGCACAGAGCCTTTCTGGCAAATGGAAAAAAATCCGTGGAGAGCCCCTGATTGAAAACAGAGCCCCGGCAAGCAACAGGAAAGTGTCCAGCAAAAGCGCAGGGCCCTCTGAGCAAATGCAAAAAAATCAAGGGCAACGCGGTAGGCTCATTAACGATCGGAGTGACCCTGCATGTGGACATATAGGTCCTCCGGAAACAACAGAGGGTCCCTAGGCAGTGTTATCGGGCTTAAGATCCCCAAGTAATGACTGTTCAATCATTGAACGAATTTTTGTCCATCCGTGCGCCCCTCACTTTCGCCTTGCGACTGTTTTTCGGTCGTTTGGAAGTCCATAGACGTCCAATATTGTTGCGTTTTGTGTTTAAAAATCTGCACCTGTTCAGCCGGCTATGGGACCCTTCGGATCCATGCCCCCCCCCCCCCCATGGGTCCCTCAGGGAACCCAAGGGGGGGGGGCATAACCCGTGCCCCGTTGCTCCTTTGATTGTTGTAATTGATTTTCTTAGTGCAGACCCGCAACAAAATTAGCCTGCCCGGGCCGGAGGTCTGAGACAACCGTGCTCGGCCGGGGGGGGGGGGGGGGGGGGGGTAGTTAGCTTCCCTTGGCATCCCCAACTTCCGGACGTCGGAGGAGGAAAAAGGATACTCTTGTGAACGTCTCGTCAAGTATTGAAGCATGCACGTCAACTTTTTGGCGTAAGGTCAAATGTCAGATCAACAGGTGTCACGGAAGGTAAAAACAGTCGTTATGATAGATGAAGTTAAAACATATGCCAACATGTTCAGACAGATATTGAGGGCACAGAAGTAAGCGTTAAGACTGTGGAGGGTCCATTCTAACCATTTGTATTTGCCCACAAGGGTCAGGTTAGACCAGGCCACCGCTTAAATTGGTCTACCAGTGGCCTTACGAAAACGATACTTTGTCGCTCTCTTTCACAACGTGCTTCTGACAAAGTTTATTTTGTTACGTGCAGCTGACACATACGCTGACACATAAACGTATCCTAGGCACACAAATATGAGTTTAGGCTGACCTAGAGACAACTGAGGTTATCTCAGGTCAAATTTATAAACCACCAGCACTATAAATAATTCGAAGTGCCAACTGGGTCAAGAGACCAGTACAATGCTTTTGTGCGGTCAGAAATAGTGCGTCAAATATTGACTGGTATTCAAGATCGCTTAGCCGTTGTGTGCATTGCACATAGTCCCTCAGTCACTTGGTCGACGCTTGGTAATTTAATTGTAACAAACTAAGAACAGGCACGTTGGTACCTGAAATTATGCGTCATTGGCCTTATAAACGGGACATAAACATATGGAGATGGTTACAGGCGTCGCACTCGTTCATCTAGCCTCTGCTCTACTGACAACAGAGGTCATTGACCTTGGATGATCTCATGTGACCTTACGTAGCCTTAACAGCCTCACTGTCCTCACGTGACCCACTGTGACCTCGTTATGCATTAGAATAATATCACATGTTTTCAGCGAAATATTCTAATTCTGTGCCCAAAATTACCCAATAAAACTGCCTATTTTGAGCCCAGCATGAGTTTTTCAGAAGGTACCCATAGAGGTAAGTCATGACCTGGACCAAGTTCACGTGGTATGAGGCCATATATTGGTTGTGCATGTGAGCTATCACTTTTCCTCACATTAAAACACCAAAACTGCACAAAAACCTACAAATTTGCGTTTTTTACGAAAAGATAGCACGAAGTGGCCTGACCCCAAGCCACTGATTTCACTTGTTAAAAAATTTGAAGTGACCTGACCTCAAGTCACTGGTCTCACTTGTTAAAAAATCTGAAGAGGCCTGACCTCAAGTCACTGATCTCACTTGTTAAAAATCTGAAGAGGCCTGACCTCAAGTCACTA